CAAATTACCCCGACTTTCAACGCAATTTGAAGGGCCGCTGTAAATTCACTAAGTGTGACACCAGTTATCAGTTTATTCCGCCTCTATTTTTCGATTCTTGAAACTTGTTTGTGCAGATTTCGCTGGGACGAAAGGAAAATTAGCAAGAGTGTTTCTAAATGGGATTTTCCTTTCTTAAAGCTTGTACAGCTTACAGAGCTTCTGTAAATCTATAATTGGTTGGGTCGATCGTAAGTCATTCCTGCTTGAGGAACGTAATGGCCGCTGCCTCTTGCCGGAACGCTGGAATCTGTTTGGTGATTCGCGAACAGCCGGGGTCTCCATTCTGTAGCCAAGGATCAGAGCGTACGCTGGGACTCTGGTAAACGAATTCCTTGCCATTTGCTTTGGCAGTCTTCCTTGAGTATAATTCAAACTTTTTCTCTCTGATTGTTTCGCTAATCAAAGTCAGTTTCTGTTTTGCGCGGAGCTGCTATAGTCTAAATTCATAGAGAAGACATGGATTCGAGTAATGGGTGCATAACTTCCTATTTTACTATCTGATTCTGAGATATCTTCTAGTTGACCAAGATCAAAGCTGCAACAGAGTTTGCACTTAAGTTTATTTTTCCATACCAGCGTTGTACATCGCATGACATTTGAGGTATCAAGCACTGGTGTTGTTGTTTTCGAACCTCTTTGAATATTTTTTGGTTACTGTTTCTTGCTAGCAGTAATTTGCGTAGATGAGTTTTTTTGATTTGTTTTTTTCTGTCCAACGCATGATATTTATAGATGCGGAAAGACGACTCTTTGCCAGATTTATGCCGCCCTTACTCAGCGCACACTTCATGTAGTAAACTGCCATTTGTCCACTGAGGCGGCAGATTTCGTTGGACGTCTGGTTCCGGCCAGCCAGGAAAAATTAGTACGCATTTTCTTTTTCCTTAGCGCCTGTTGCAGAAGGGATTTTTAAGCACCATATCTGCATACCCCATTCCGATTACCTACCTGTTGTATCCAGTCATTAGCCTCAATTGCGCTTTGCCAAAGATGCTATAAAATTTTATTCGTAGGAAGAAAATTAGGGTTGTACATCATACTGCAGACCGCGAAAATTCTGGAGTCAAAAATCTTTATTGAGGCATTTGTTTCTGACAGTCATAGCACTGTCGATTGCCAGAAATAGAACTGTACGGACGGAAAACCGTGTGTAATTTCACAAAACTAATGTTCGGAGCTCATTAATAAGATGCTTCAGTTATTATACATTTTGTTTCGTTCTGCAGAAATATGTAGAAATTCCTTAACTGAAAACTGAATTCTGTTTGGATGTCCATAAATCACAGAGTCGTCAGCCGCGTCATTGTCGTGATTACTTCCTAGACGTCGCTCGGTTGAAAATGTTCCTATTGATTGTTTGTAAATAATTTAATACTTATGTAGCCGGACTTTTCAAACTCGAATTGTCTTTCCGACATAAGCTGTATTGTTGCAGTACAAAAATTATGGTTCATTATATATGTGACGTAAGGTGGAGGCTAACTTCAGACTGGTTTTCCTAGAGAAATGGTCTTTATTATTCTTCAGAAAATGACGAATTTCTTC